TTCTCTTATATGTTTTTTATCGATGTGGGATGTATTGATTAGAGAAAATTGATAGTTTTTAGTGATGAAATATATTTTTTTAGTGATAAATTATTTGGTCATCATTGAATGTGTGAGGTATATGTGACCAATATGAAAATTTTGTCATAATTGTAATGTATTATAGTAATGATTTTTATCCAAAAAAACTTATTTTATCTGTAGGAACATTTTTTTTTACGAAATATATTTTTTATGATGAATTTTTTTGTTTATCATTAAATATATATGCATCTGTGACTATTTTTTTAGATCTGTTACAATTGTGATAAGTTATAGTGATGATTTCAAAATTCATCACAAATTTCTGTCACCAAAAATCATTTTTCTTGTAGTGTACTCATGAGATAAGTTTATCATTATTCATAAATTGCTAATTTCTACACTTTTTTGTTAACATAATCTAATTTTAGTGATTGTGGTGTTTTATCTTTTAACATTAACTTTTTTGGTAATGTTCAATTTTAACATTAAGTTATTTATTTTTATTTTTTCTTATTTAATTTGTAATTAATTTTCTTTTTAATAAAAATTTGCTAAGCTATTATAATAAATTAATTAATTAAGAATTTTGTAATTTTTACCTTATAATTAAATTTTTAAAATTAATTTTTTATTAAAAACTAACAAAAGAATGTTTCATTTGTAAATGTATAATAATAATAATAAGGATAATAATGATAACAATAACAATAATATGTTTTTTTAGTGTTAAGAACTTAAAAAAAAAAAAAACAAAATTAACTACCTTTTCAATTTGTCTTTATATATCATTGGACATTATTAAGTAATTTTTAAGTATTATATAATTAAATAATTATTAAAATTGACGTCTTTTATTTATTATATATTACCAATTAATCATTAATTTTATACTGTTATACAAAATAGCTTTTACATTTAATACCATATAAACTTCAATCTAGCTTGTACCAGACGAAAATAAGCATACTGGCCTGCATTTTATGTACTGGTTGGCTGTTAATAAGTTTTTTAGCCAGTACAAATTCACGGGTATTTTTTCACCAAAAAAAAAAAAACCAAACACGGGAATTTCACGTAGAAATTCAAAAAATATATAACTAAAACTGCATCTAGCGGCATCGCAAACAAGCATATCAGTGAAATCTGATTTCAAATAGCACCGCAATAGCACACCAAGAACTTCAATCTGATCGAGCAAATAACTTGGCTTTGTATGCTACCAAAAGTGAATTCATAAAGGAGAAACGATGAAATCAAAAAGTAGGTATAAATATTTAACAAGTTGAATATTTAAATTTTAAATTAAGTTTTAATTAAATAAGACAATATTATTTAATATTATAATTCTATTTTTTTTTTAACTCGAGATTGATATGTACTATTTTATATATACATATATCTAGACATACACATGAAAATAGTATAGGTAAAAATAAAATAGATACATAAAAATAAGGAAAATATAAAATAATATGAAAAAAATATTAGTTTAAAAAAGAAAAGATATTGCGGAGAGTTACATGCATGTACTAAATTAAGTCAAAATTAAAATATATAATAATAACATATAATTAAGTGCATGATGATAAAACAAACTAAGAAATTGAAGGTGCTTATAGAAATATGGAAAAAAATATGATTTTAATATTAAAAATTAAGAAAATTATCTCAAAATTTTAATCATTGAATCACCTATTTAAAATATAATTTGATTATTTAATGTTTTACCAGTGAGATAGAGATCTTTACCCACTCGGTGAAGAATGTCTAAGTAATCCGAAAACCCAAAACAGTGCCATTTAATGTTAATCATGTTTTCATCAATTGTCAAGATCACGTTATTGAATCTTATTTTCACTGATATAGTTATTGGTTGAAAATTTGATTCAACTAAAATTGGTTATTGCATATACATGTCCCTCATGCAATAATGGTTAGCTAGAAAGTTGTTGTTAGTATTTGTTCAATAACAATTTGAATTGAGTTACCCTAAAATAAAACAAATAATTGCATCACCCTAAAACAAAATAAATAGCAATTAAATATTTAATTTTAAAATTTTAAAAAGTATACAGTAGACGTACATTAATATCAATACTAAGTGCATCAAGAGTACTAGTTAATTCATCCTTTCTTGGAGCAACTGCATGCACTGGTTAATTAATTCCTTATTGGAGCAACTGCGCGAAATTGTCTCTTAATTAATTTATTGATGGTTTGAAAATTAGATTCCATTTTAAGTCAATAAACAATCCTAAAGAAAAATAAAAGTAAATAAAATTAGGTGAAATAGGAATGGTTGGGTTGAATAGGATTATAGGAATGGGAACAAAGTATATATATTACATAAATTGGCAGTGGAATAGGAAATTTCTATTTTTGATAAATAAAATATTAAGTTCTATTCAAAATTGAATTGTAATGTGAGTTTTAAAAATATGTAAAATAATTATAAGTATAACTTGAGATATGTATAATAATAATAATAATAATTGAGGTTTATTATTATTATTATAATATAGCACAAAACTTATTACATAGAATCCATACACTAAAATTAATTGAGGTTTATTTGAAATAAAATATTTTAGATTTATTTTTTATTCTATTAATTCTTATGATTAATTAGGTATTTAGCCCATTAGGTATTTTTTACAAAGTCTAATAGGTATTTATTGATATTTTCTTAAAGTCTAATGGGTATTTATTTGTGAATTTTAAGAAAAATTTTATTGTTATGGTAGTTTATATATATTATTATTACAGTAATTTTATATATATTATATAAAAATTAGCTCATTTTTCAAAGATTAACTCATGATGTTATATACATTTACTTTATGTTATACACATTTAATACTATGTCATAATCGTAAGTTTATAATTTTATATAATATTGTAATTATATAGTTGTTGAATTAAAAATCTTAACTAGTACTAATTGGACAAATAAAAAAATTAATTAAATTTAATTAAAATTAACTAATAGAAATTGACCATAATTTAAGTACATTAATTAAAATTATTAAATTCATTTTTCATGTAGAAGAGTTATTAATTTTTAAGAGCTTAAGGGCCAAAGTCTTTTAAACTTTTTTCTTCTTCTTTTATTTTTCTTTCCATAAAGGCCAATAACAAGATGGCCAGATAATAAACAAAGGCCCAATGAAAGTCCTTTTTATGCTGCTGGGCTCGGGTCGATCCAGCCCATAACAAGCAGATCTGGAACAGCATTAGGGTTCTTGAAATTTTCCTTTCGTCGTTCGGCAAGTCGAATAGAAACCCAGAAAAATTCATTCCGAATGGCACAAACAAAAACTGCATTTAAAATACAGAAGCATATACAAAGGTCAAAACCAACCCCAAATAAAAAATAACCATTATACACATTAAAGAATATAATTATTTTCCAATTTAAATTGTATTGAAGACCCTTATATGAAACATTAATATGAAAGAGCTTAGCCTCATTTAAAAGTTCATATTTTTCCGTTTCAAACAGTTCAAATTATAGAACCCGTTCTGGCCCAGTGGTATTGGACGCTAAATTAAGGCTGTTCACTTCCAGTAAGTTGCATATTCGAGTCTCACGAAATTCCTTTTCCTCTTCCCCAATTAACCTTGTAAATAATTACAAATTGTTAAAAAAAAAAAAAAAAGTTCAAACTATAAAATAATATTTTGTAAACGAAATCATTTAAAGGCACCAAATAAAGGAACATGTATATATCAAAATCAAACTTAGAACCATTGCAAACATCCACAACAACCATAGATTTAGCCATTCAATAGCAGAATAAACACATAAGGAATACTTCATGGGGCTAATTGATTCCGGGTATCTCATTTTGGGGAACTGCCGGAGCTAAGGCAAGGCCACTAGGTGCACTTGTGCTCCGTGATACAAGATTCTACCTAGATCTAGATATGACCGAAAGAAAGCTGAAACATAGCAAAAGGAGGGGTCGCCGGAAAATCGTTAGAAACGCGCCGGCGATTGCACTTTCAGAATACTCTCTCCTTCGCTAAAATGAAAATCTTCTCTGAAAAGCCCCCAAAAGGGACTGAATCAAAGGGAAAGTCCTTAAAAGCAAAAGGAACCCCCCCGGCCCCCCTAGAGCCGGAAGCCTCCAACCCCAACTGCTCTCTACTTTCCCTTTTCTTCTCTCGGCCTCTTCTCCCCTCCCCCTTCCTCCCCCCTTCCTAATCACTTCTATGCTTCCGAGGAAAGTTATTGCTGAACATTGTGTTGGCATTTTGATTTTACAAAAACAGAAACTTTCTTTCAATATTGTTTGGGCAGCTTCACGGACCTACACTATATAAATCTTCAACTGCTTCAACACGTGAAAGACCCACAAGGATATCTTCTCGAGAAAAGGGACTCCAACGCTCAAATTAGCAATTCTCAATATTGTATAACAAGAAACTCTCAAGAATAATTACAGAAATAAAAAAAAAAAACGTAATGGAGTTATTATCTTGAGTGGAGGTAGGTGGTTGGTATTTATAGTCCCCGAATGATAACATAAAATCATAAGTGTGAGTATCTAATTAGTCCACGTGTAGACACCCACATGGATATATCTGCACTAGTGTGTGGATGCATTTCTATTTTGGATTTATGAATAAAC